TGGGTTTAGCAACAGGCGCTCCTGGGCCTTACTACTAGGAGCAAGGACGCTACTAGGGGCTCCTAGCCTTACTACTGATGCCCCGCTTGGTTTGTAGATGTGATGCCCCGCTGGGTTTAGCAACAGGCGCTCCTGGGCCTTACTACTAGGAGCAAGGACGCTACTAGGGGCTCCTAGCCTTACTACTGATGCCCCGCTTGGTTTGTAGATGTGATGCCCCGCTGGGTTTAGCAAGTGTTCAGCTACCTTCGGAAGTCCTCAGTTCGCGGACGAACCCGGGTCCACCCGGCCTCCACCCGCGTTCGACCTTCGACCGCTTCGGGTTTCCGGCGTGGGCCTCCAAGGTGCACTTCGCGTGGACCTTCGGAGGCGTTCGGACTTCGCAGTAGCCATCCACCCACTTGGGCCTGGTGGAGCGGTCGGGAGCGAACCGGCGGTGGAGCGAACCGGCACGGGCGAAACGAAGAGAAGCGGTGGAAACTCCCAGTCGAAGGAAACGGCAGAAAAGCCAGGACAAAGAAATGCTTCCATATGCTTTCCAGCTTCCATATGTGTCTTCCAAAAGGATGGGAGCTGAAGCTCGTTGAAGTGTTCAGATCTCGGTGCTCTCCGGATGCGGATGCTCTGCCCTCCACCCTCCACTTGCTCTTTTGGGAGTTGCCTTACTTTTTGGGATTTGTTGCAAATGATGCAAGCTCCTTGGCTTTCTGTCCTCTCTCTAGACAGCAACATCTTCAATGGCTCACATAAGGTGTTGCAACTATTTTGCAAGTCTTGCAACTATCTTGCTGTATTGGCTGTTGATAACATACAATATGTATTTTAGGTGGTGCAGAAGGTTCTCTTACTGCACCGTTAGAACCTATTCTCTGCACCTCCAGGCCCACAGGTTTCGTCCAAATCTGATACAGCCATGTGGCGTACAGAATTCGTCACGCAGATGCAAGGCAGCTGCCTGATGAGCGCATGTTTTAGCTAATGGCGTGTGCTTCGAGAAGGTTCTTGCATTGCTCATCACGCAAAAGAAAGTGGATGAATTGGAAAGTGGCAATGGGCACATGCTCATTATGGATATTGAGATGCACGCCCACTGACTCGTCCAACATTTGGGTTGCTTCAAGCTGGGCTTGAGCACCAAAAGACCTGTGTTGTGCTCTGCCTGAGAAACGGTCTGTGAACAATTATATAACAGAAAAAAGAAACGATTGCATACGTAAACAAAATGTTGGGAATTGACCCGCTCACACCGCTTTTTTTGGAATAAGAATCCTCATCTCAGGAATTGAGGCTGTGGAAGGATTCAGAAAGCACTCCAAGACAGCAAGTCTTCTGGGTTGCGAGGGCATCGGAACTTTCTGCTACAGTATATATATGTATATATTATATATATACTTGGACCGTGACATGGCAGAGCCAGAGGAATGGGACCTGGTCAAAGCAGGGCAATGCTGCTCAGTGAGGCTTGGGAAGCCAAGAAAAGAAGTCACTGTTTTGGTCTTTTCAGCTGTGACTCCCTTACCTCAGCCTGCTTCTGATAGCGGTCCAAGTCCTCACAAGCCGCGGCAAAGCCATGTGTGATCTTTGGATGGGTCACCAAATAGACTGCCCGTAGTTTACTGAATATGTTGACTTGCAAATCACCTCATGAAGAACACTCGACGTGAACTCGGCCTGGGGGATGATCTGGGGCCGTTCAATAGCTGTACAAATGTTCTTCAGCTGGTCGTACCTGCAAACGTGGAAGATGGGGGAGACAAGGCACAGCAAATGTCAACAACAAACGCTTCTGGCTATCTACAGTATCAGCATCACTTCAAATACGTGCGGCCGATTTGGTGTACAACAAGCCCATGTACGAGTCGGTATCTGTTCCATGCGTCAGGCCACCAACGGAAGACCTTGGCAAGCTTCAGACCCGGTCACTCGATGCGATCATCCACCCATGGCTGTGGCATCGCTTTCAAAGGATGAACTTCGTGCCACCTGGCAGTGAGACGGACACTGCGGCAGTGATCGGATTGGATGGGATCCAGTCGATTTCCAAGCAGGGACAGTATGGGACAGTTCAGTGTCAGTGCGTCGATTTATTCGGGGGTTCCAGTGGTATGTCTATCGACAAAAACAAACTTACAAAAAGACCCTTTGGAGAAGTCCTCTATTGTACAAATCCACCATTCTCCCGCAAGTCGGAATCTTCAGGCAAGATCATGACCCAATCAGGTGAAGGCACCTTTGGCGGGAGTTGATCTGGACTTGAAATCCCTAACATGTGTTTGCAGAATGGATGCCAGCAGGGCCAGTGCCGGCAAGAACTCCTGCAGGCTACCGGATGAGCTCAGAGTGAAAGCTCATGGCATGGCCCTCCAAGTAGACGGCAAGGCCAAAAGCCACAATTCCCTACAGGCAGCGATGTCGCGCTGACAACCCATATGCAAACCGAAGGTCTCCTCTCACAAAGCTTGGTCTTGTCGTCGCACCACACAGGGCCTCAGCTTGAGGGGTCCATTACATGCAGTGTCTGATGTCATCAGCTGAGGTCATATGAGCACTGGCTTGCCAACAGGTGACATGCCCATCACAGGCCGGGCATGTCCCGGGACTTGTAGCATCGGCAAAGGGCTGCTGGGCTCATGGCTGTCGTTGGGCAAAGGCGCCCTTTTCTTCCCCACCTCTGGGAGCAAACTGAAGGGCTTCCTACCAGCCTGGAGGGAGGTGTATGTATGTACATTATATACACATACATACATGCATATACTTACATGCATTGCATTACATTGCATTGCATTACATTACATTACATACAATTACATAAATCACATGCATTCACATACCATTGCATACCATAACATGCCATTACATACGATTACAATACAGTGCAGTACATTGCAAAATTACATAAATATATATACATATATGCCAAGAAGTGACCATTTTCCGTCGTCTGGACCATGCCACAACATGTGCCCTTGATTTGGCCAAAAGAAACAAAAACATGCACCTGCCCATGGACTGTCCAAAATCCACACAAGCTTGGACATGGACTCCGTTAGAATTGGAGTATGGTCTTCCTCATGGTGTTCACTGGCTCGCAGGGTCCTGCTGGATCAGTTGGATTCTGATCACAGGATACGGATACGTGAGACATGGTTCTTGAAAAGGCAAGCTTTGGTATACTAGTACGGGGCCTGGTCTTCCTCCTTCCCCTCCTTCCCGACTCTCAGTCACCTTCCCCTCACCTAGCTTCTTCGTTTTCGCACTCGAACCAACGAGCGCCTCGCAGGCCAGGCGAATCTCATTGTAGACTTTCGACCTGGGCCGCCGCAGGGCGAAAAAGGGCCAGGCCGTGAACGACGCGGACCGGACGGACGCGGCGTCGGTCTGGAGGTGTGGTGGAACCCACCCAGACCTGACGAATGCCTCAAACGACATGGTGGTAGTAAGTGGATGGCATCGTCTAAGCAAAGTGGCTGACCCTCCAGCAACAGGGGGGTGCCATCCACTTCCATGGAACGTGAGTCAGAGATAGTCAGTGCATACAAAGGTGTGTATGTGTGTGTATATGTGCACGTATGGGGCATGGTTTGCGTCGACGGACCCACCGACCCTGATGTCATTTCAATCCAGCACATGCATGATCCGAATGATTGCAAGGAATACCCAAATTGGCTCACACTGCAAGGAAAACCCAAACCCTCCGCACCTACTCCGTGCTTCATGCATCTTTACTCGTCTGGGGGCCTATGAAATCTATGAATGTCTTTCAGTCCCCAACACATCCCAAGACCCAAGGACACCACGAGCCGCACCTTGGCGACACCCGGCTCCCGCTTCTTTTTTGGCTCGCCTTTTGGCGCCGAAGTCAGCTGCCACCTGGAGGGTCATGCGCTGACAGGTGACGCGGTGGACTGCGTATAATCTCGAAAAAGGTTTTCTGTCGAGCATGTTTTCTGAGTCTTTCTGAGGGCATTCATCTTCTGACCCAGTTCTGACACAAAAATGAATCTTGATGATTCTTGAAGACAAAATGGTGTATCGCAAAGAAAGTCGTGAATATTCATATTGCAATATATTGCATAATATTCTAATATTGTGTTCTGTTCTGTCATGTTTCCACTTAAAAGTGTCTCAACGAAGTCAGTCAAAAACACGCGGATTGGTCCGGTGCAACAAACGTATTTTAAAAGGGATGAACATGGTGTCATCCCATTAACTTCACTGTGACATTTCTCGTCCGCAGCCGTAGGAGGTGCAGAATCTACAGCACCGTAGAGGAACAACTGTGCAAGCGATTGAATCAAGCAGGGATGAGCACAGTAGGTTCACCGTCACAAGATCCGATTCGTTCCTACAGTGGTCATTCAGGCCTTGAACTGAAACCCTTCTTCTGTTTGGTTGCTTCTCAACTTCTCAACTTCTCAACAAACGGACTTCAAGCTGATTGTGTCCACCAAGGGCCTTCTAGTCACACAATCTACCAAGGTGCGAACCCTTTGGGATGTTGCAGGCGGTAAGTCAAAGCCACCTCCTGCAGTGACGAACCGCAACATCAGTGGACACCTCCGTACTGTTGAATTTGGCGTCCCCAGGCTGCAATCATTCATCACCCAGAAAAGCTTTTCACTGAGCACCATGGAACTGCTTCAAAAAGGGAGGCATGGCATGACTCAACAAAAAGAGATGAGTAACCTCAGAAACCTCTTCATCACCAGTGCAGCAAAAGACCTGTTTGTCAGTACAGTTTCGATCGCCGAGGGCGCCGCAATCTGGTATGCCCTGGGTCGTCGCTCACCGCGCATGGCAGACCGTGAAGATGCGAGAGCCTCGGGAGGCTAAGGTCCAAACGCGCAAGGTCCAAACGGTATTGCTGAAATAAATCAATGTGAAGATATGTGAAGTGTCTCTAAAAATCGAACCCAATCATTAGTGCGAGCGCTTCTGAAGAAGGAGCTGGGGGAGTTTCCTTGAAGCGTGAGCTATCCTGCGTCCATACTAGTAGCTACTTGGTAGCTACTAGCTACCTCTCCCTACTAGCTACCTACCTGTAGCTACTACCTACCTCTAGCGGCCTACCCTCCCAAGAAAAGGAATGAAAAAGAACGGATCGTCCACTCCGACAGTCTCGATCTGAAGTTGAAAGCATGCGAAGAAGACATTCGCCGACATTCGACGTTTCCAAAACCAGACAGGATGGCGCCCAGCCTCAGCTGCATGCCGTGGACGGTTGGGGCCTAAGGTCCGTGTTGGCCCCCTCGATGCGTTCGGACATCGCCGAAGACTTCCGCTCACCAAATGGCAAACCCAAAGACTTCATGCGAAAGGCAGGATGCCTCCATCGACTCAAACGCGTTTCCGATCGACTCACTGGCACGCTCTCACAGCCGTGCACAGAGGGATGGGTGGATGGGGATGTGCCGGGGATCTGGATGGGCCTCGCATCGTGGTGGGATCAGAAGCATGATACTTTCCTGTCCCCCAGCGGAACTCGGGTGGAGCGTTCGCTTTCCGGGCACTTGGGCACTCTCAATCTGTGAAGGCTGAGAGCTATCTGATGTATTCTGACGTCACCCAGAGAGCCGACCTCTTTCAAAGGTCAAGCTTCAGAAAAGGGGATCGTGAACAGCTCAATGCCAGTGAATGATTTTGTTGGTGCCCCGAACCACAGCAGATTAGATCTACGCTCATGTGAATTCGACACTCAACGCCAATGCTTGGGCACTTCACTGTGACAAAATAGGTTTCCCGAAGATCCAAACGGAAAGAAACATCATGGACACCAATTGGCCCGTTCTTGTCGTTGTGTTCGGAGTCATGAACTTCAATCTCAATCTCAAAATCTCTCTCCCTCCCTCCCTCTCTCTCCCTCCCTCTCTCAGTTTTATTTTTTCTTCGCTCCTTTTCTGGTTATGCTTCATCGATGGCCTTTTTGGCCCGGAACACAAGTGGGAGCTGTAGGCCTTCAGCCTGGCCTCCACACCTGCCTTGCAAGGACTTGCTGGCCTGCCATGAATGCTCTTTCATGGTGGCCTGGGCCTTGCATCTAAGGCATTTGAGCGTGTTGGCTCGCCGCCACATGCTGTGTGAGCTGTGCCCTTGCCAGCCTTTCCCAGGTTCCCATGCTTCATTGATGCATCGCGTCTGGCTCAAAGCCAGAAGTTTCTGCTTTGCAGCATGCCTCAAAGCCCTGGTGCCACAGTGCTGACAAACAAGGTAGCTTGGAGTTGGAAATTGTGCTCTCCGTGTTCGCCGGAAGTGTCATCAAGGATCTTCTGAATGAACTGGCTCTTTGTCTCCTCCTCTTGTGTGCTTGTTGGCTGACCTCCTTTGGTGCTGCCTGGGTTTCCCGGGCATCTCTCTTGGGCTGCCGCTCTCAAGTCATCAAGCTTGGCATGGAGGGTCAACCTTTTGAGACAATGTTGGCATTGCTTGGCCCGCCCTTTGAGGAGCCAAGCATGGGCACCTTCCTGTGGAGTCTCCACCAGATCAGCAAAAGCCTGCTTCTTGCTCTCTTGTTTCTGCGTTCGCAGCGTTTTGCCAGTTTCTCTGGCCTGGTGCATGAAGTGATCCTTGTTGTCCAAGATGTGTTGCACCCGCTTGATGGCAAGTGGTGCAATGCGCTTGTACTTCTCATCTTGCTGCTTCAAAAGGGCCTCCTCCTCGAGTGGCCGCAGGGACAGCGCAACCTCAGTGGCGGCCTTCGTGGCATCATGGAACCTGTTCTTCAAAGTCATGTGCCCGGTTGGCATCTGCCTGATTTGCTGCATGGTGATGCTTAGGGCCTTGACCTGCTTCCGTTGCTCTGGCGTGACCAAGCTGCCCAAGTCATGAAAGATGTGTCCATGCTTCCCTTGCGCCCAGGCTTCCCAGGCTTTGGCGGAGAGGACATGTTGATGTAGTGGGTGGCCATCCTCAACCCATAGTACCAGGCTCTCTCCAAGGACTGATGTCCTGGCAGGAGTGTTGCCACCACTCCAAGGCGGTATAGCTCTTGGCCCAACCCAGCATGCTGTACCAGAGCCACCACATAGTGCCTCAAGCGTGGATCTTTGCTCGTGGCCGCAATCCCTATGGTGAAGACCGAGGCGTTGCTGCCGCGCCTCCTGTGGCCAACTCATACTTGGGCAAGGTGAGCAGCCCTTGCGTCCAGAACTCTAGATGCACCCCATGGTCGAGCTCGAACTGATCCTCTGGGCCCAGAGGTGGGAACGCCTTAGTCGTCTCCTTGCAGAGCCACATCAAGTGGAGCATAGTGGCCTTTTGGCCAATGCTGCCACTAGGGAATTCACTTTTGATGTCCGCAGGGAGGAGTTCCACTGAAGGAATTGCCCAGACCTGCACTATCTGCCTCTTGATGCTGTCAGTGAGCTCAGGGATAGGCCTTGGGTATGAAACGTCATCAACCAACCAATATACACCACGGTACACGAAGACAGCATAGTAGTGTCCTTGTTTGTGTTGCTCTCCGGAATGACACAGCAGTCCAATCAGAGAGTACTGCTCCGTTTTTGTCATGTTGCCATCCTCCGTGAAGGGAATGTTGAAGATCGTGGGCACATTCAGGACCTGGTGGTGTTTTGTCCATTCCCCTTCTCTCAGCTCGTAGCGGCCAATTTGACCTACCCACAGGCCTCTGCCATCAGCCACTTGCCCTTCAGCTGTTTTTGCCCATTCCGAGGAGATGAGGTGGATCGGAAAGGATTCACGTCTGTGCACTTGTTGCCTGTAGTCCACATGATAGTAGCCCTTGATCACCTTCTCTGAGTTTGCAAGGCGGGCCAAGTTCATGAGGAAATGGGAGGCATCATCTTGTATTTGGTCGTCAAAAGTCTGCCATAGCTGCCTCAAAGTAGGCAGTCTGGTGATGTGCGCAACTCCATCATCTTTGAGAGCCGCAATGACTGCCGCTCCCGTTTGGTTCCAAAGCTGAGGTCCACCTAGAAAGCTTCCCGCCCAAGACCAAAGCCGGAAAGGCGCATTGGCAAAGCACCTGTTCCGGTAGTTTCCTGTGCGGCATTGGAGGTTCTGTAGGACATAGTCCAAGGACGACTGTCCTGATGTAGGAGGATCCTCCACCAGGATCATGTTTTCATCATCCACTGCAGGCTCATGTTCTGCCATGTTGCCTGCACCCCCCACAAAATCTTGGAACAGCAAAAGGCCGCTCCTGAAAGGTCAGCAGCTCTTCATCCGCTGACGCCCCAAAATCACAGGTGTGCTGCACCTGCGTCTGCCCCTGTTGGTCTGAGCCAAAGTGCACATGGCCATCAGGCAAAATTGCATCAATCACCCCAAGAGACGCCCATGTGGTTTCCC